CCCCCCCCCCCCCCGCCCCCGTGCTGAAGAGCCCTGTGGTTCCCCCTCAAAGGAGGGTCAGGTTCTCACCCCACGTGGAGTCTTTCCGTAAATCAGCCCAGCCTCCCCGACTCTCCACGTCTACCAAGGGTCTCTTTGTAGCGAATTCGTGACGGTGAGGGCTGACCTCCCAGACGTACCTGTGTACCAGGAACTGTGGCAGGTGCTTTCCTTGTGTACATCCTGTCATCTTGATGACCCTGCGAGTCTGCCTAGTGTCCCCACTGGATACATGAGAGCACTGACACGTAGGTCACTTGTCACTGCTGGAAACTGAGCTGGGATTCAGACTCCTGTATATTTGTCCAGAACCCTGACACGCACCACCCTGCCGTGGGGTCTTCCTTCATCCCTGGGCCTGCTGTCCCTACGCCCCACCCCCACGTCCGCAGGCGCACGCCGCCCACTGCTCCAAAAGCTTCTCTGTGTTAATTACTCTTAGGATGCAGAAAAGCCTCAGAAAGCCTGAGTCCCATAGGTCGGTTGGTAGTGGCTGAACCCAGTACTCTAGAGGCAGAGAATCTAAATGCTATTCATACCAAATGGTTATAGCAAAAGAAAGCCTTGAACTTCTCCATAAGGACGAGAGCCTGAGTTATATTCTGGGGAAGCCCGGCCTCCGCCTCAGATTCCCACTCGGCGAGGGGCCTGGCACGGGGCCAGCCTCTGCACCACCCCCACCCCCCACCCCCCCGCCATGGCCACACTGGTCCTTTAACGCAGGGTGGAGGGTCTCAGGGAGAAGGGGGTGTGCCGTTGAGGGGTCCCCACAGGGCATCACTTCCTTTAAGGGACCTCAAGCCCAGCTCGGGGGCTCCCTCTAGTGGTGGAGGAGCTCACAGGGGTCCTGGGTCCAGGCAGGCACCCCAGTGGATAGAGGCACGGAGGCTGCCTCTGCCCTGTGCTCAGCGCACCGGTCGTCACCTGCCGTGCGGAGCCCAGGGTCTCAGTGTGCTGCACGGCCCCAGCCAGGCCTCGTGCTTGCCCCAGAGCCCAGGGGACACATCGTTTTTTCCTTTTCTGCTGCAGAGCTGGGTGGGCCCTGAGGCCCTTCTGGCTCCTGTGTTGCAGGCTTACCCACGGGACGGCAGCAGGTCATGTACAGAGTCCAACTCCTGTGCGTCAGGTCTGACCGATGCCCCTTCAGACGGCCCTGAGGGGCAGGTACGGCCCCTCATTTCACTCAGGAGGAGACAGAGGCTTAGGGAGTCTACATAACCTCCGGGGTGGCCCAGAGGCAAGCGGGTCAGGCCCAGGCACTCAGATGGGAGTGCCAGCTGCTAAACCCACCAGCAGGACACGTTCAAAATTCCTTGAGTCTGTGAGTTGTGTGCCTTGGCTTAAATATGGAGTCCAGTAAGTTTTCAAACCATCACCGCAATTTCAGGTCATGGCCGAAGTGAGCCTCAGAGCTTTGCAGCCTTGTTCGCTTTCTTCCCGACCTCTGCCTGCAACCCCCATTACTCCAGCGCCGAAGCTGCTTGGAGGTGAAAACCTCATCACTTCCCACGCCAGGGTCCCCTCAGGATGGAGCCCTGGGCCCACTGTCTTTCAGATCAGAGCGATGGGATCTGTAGTCAGACTTCGAGAAGGACAGACACGAGGTCTTGAGGAGTGAAGGCCAGGAGACGGGGCCGCAAATAGGATGAAGGGGGAAGGTGCCGTGTTTCGAGCCTTCTCGGCTGCGTGGCTGTCCTCCCCCACCTCCAGAAGACCCTTCCAGAGAACTGGGTGGAGGCCAGTGGGCTCCTGGATGCTGCGGCCGAGCCTGTGGGTGGGTCGTCCCGGGGTCCGGTCCTTCCCCTGGGCCGCCTCTGTCTGTGGAAGA